ATCTCGGAGAGCGGTACCGCCGTCACAAGTGCTACGACTTCCAAAGGTCGTGATCAGCAGGTAGGGCAGGAGGTGTCGCGCAGTGGTACGATCGCAGACAACGGGAAGAATGGGAACGGGAAGGGCAAGTCGCGGAAGAGCAACACGCCGTTCCAGCGCGTAAAGGCAGACGCAGTACTTGTAGATGAGCGGCTGAAAGACAATGCATTTGAAGCGAGGGTATGCAATGGTAGTTTTACGTATGATGCGCAGCCACTGAACATTTATTCGCATCCATCGCGTGGTTTCCAGGGTGCTGGTCCAAATGATTATGGCGAACGCGCTGCTCGCGATCTCATTATTACTCGCGGTGCGGGCTTCCGAAAAGAGAAAAACAAAAAGAAACGAGGTAGCTATCGTGGAGGGGAGATCACGGTAAGTACTTTCGTTAGTCGTTAACAATGTTGTCATCGAATGTCTTTGTAGATGCAAAGTTATAGCATCAAGTTTTGAATCATCGGTTCCATCTAGCTCTTACGGCTTATTGACTTTACTCCACGACCGTTATGTACGTCCCTCTGAGAGTGGATGACATAACTATTAGACTAGATAGGTCTTAATCGTGTCAAACTGACGTTGCTCTAGCGATTCGGTTTGAGTGAATTAGTTGATTATATTGCGCCTAATGTACGGATGAACTCTATCTCTACCCACGATGAATCATCTCTCGCATTCTCCTCAATGGGTCTTTGCCATTTCAGTGTGTCCCATCGGTAATCTGCTAGCACTTCATCCGGCACTCCCTTTTGCCGCATGATAACTTGTGGACAGTACCATGATGTGGCGGGTTGGATGATGACCCTTGAGTCCGCTGAGTGTTCTGAGGATGTTAGACACGTAAGTACGTCCAAGGGCATCTTCGCTACATCGAAGCGCAGTATGAACCTGGCGTCATAGAGTATGACTGCCGGGCCAGCCTTTTGGGGCCGTCTTACTAACAGATCGCTGATGTCTCGCACTAGGGTGTCCTCCTTCCCAATGTGCTGTAATTTTTCCCTGGAGAGGGGCGTGGCTCGCTGGATATACCACGCAAAAGATTCCCCATGGTTCAAGGTATGTTTCCTCTTGAAGTCCCCCGCAGCGTTGACAACCCCAGGGACCCATAGGACATTAGACCCTGCAGAGAACGTCCGTCGTGTTTCAGGTGTGCGAAGAGAGCCCCAGATGTCTCCCACAATGTGTAAAAGACTCTTTCGATGCCCTTTCGCTTCTGCTTGCACGCTACCCCACAGCCGAGGTGAGACGTAGCGCAGAATTCGGCGAACCATCGCTATACATAAATCGCGCTGCGCAATGTGCGACAGCCAGCGTGAATGAAGAATGATTGTGGAGGGAGGGGAAGAGATGCAGCAGTATGCAAGCGCGTTCGTCACTTTGGGCATGGTTGGATTTTGAAATTTATACCATGTTAGTGACTCACCTTGGCTTTCTACAACCTCCACGCGTTCTCGCACACGCTGAACAGCAATTTGGAGATCACGATCTCCCTCGACTTCGACCACGCTGCGAAGTTGTTGAATGGCCGTTTTGACTGGCTCAGGCAATTTAGGCTCTTCTTCAACTGGCTATCTTCCGTTTTAGATGCGCCTCAGAATAAGACACAATCAGTAACAGCTCACCTCCTCACCTTGTAGACGTTTATCCTCGCGGGCAATATAGTCACGAATGGCATTACGCGTTGTAAGAGATGGTTGGAAGTTTGTCGGATCGTTGACATATTCTAATTCATGCTTTTCACAGGTGGCAAGGATCCTGTCCTAGTGATCCAATTGAACCTATGTTGACTTCCACTTTTAAAATCAGTTTCATACCTTGGAAACAGTCAAAAGAGGTCGCACAATCCATCTGGACATCCCCAGGGGGCCAAATGTACCTAGGGCTTTGTTATCCCCGAATGGCCGGGATTCGCCCATTCCCCATCTGCGCACAGGACGCATGCCGCTGACGCCAAGATCGCTGCTACCCATTGACAAACGCATAATGGCAGTTTCGACTTGATCGTCAGCGTGATGTCCGAAGGCGACCATCTTCGCTCCTGATCTAACCAGTTGATAGAATAGGGCATGATATCGTGCATCGCGAGCAACTTTCTCCATGGGCTGCCCTTTAGTTGGGCGGTCAGGGTACGGGTATTTGCCCCAGCGTATATCAGTGTTAATGTGCGGAATATTTAGTTTAGACGCTGTACGTGCAGCGGCCACGGCCATGTCATCAGAGGATGCTTGTAAGGCATGATTGACATGAACTGACACCAGCTGAATGGGCAGGCGCGAGGATATGTCCCTTCCTTTGAATAAAGATGCTAGCAGAAACAGCAGACACGTGGAGTCTGGTCCACCGGAGTTCGCTACGGCTGCAGGAACAGTCAGTGTAGGACGCAGCAACAAAAAGCAAGATATACTACCCAGGGGCCTTCGCCAGCCATCGGGGGGCATACATCGCTGGAAGAGCTGCAGAAATTCTCCCTTGGAGATCGCAGAAATTGACATTATACCATAGGATTGTCGCAGGGGAGATATACTGCTTGCTCGTAACAGAATTTATCGCTGGTTAGCATTTCTCAACGGCCATGTGAAAACTGCACTCACTTCTTCCCTTATAACCCTAACAGCTGCGGCCTTTGGCAGATAGTGGCAATGTGAAAGGAAATCCTCAGCCTGCTCTGCCAGTGCGCAGGTTGTGGATTGCCAGAATGGTAGGTCTCCGGGAGACCCACGAGGTGGAGACCAGTCCCGTTTTGGAATACGGCGACGCGGTGTTTCCACTGCCTGCTCTGATCTTGTTCTTCTCTTCCTTCTCCACGCCGCCTCCTGCCTGTTCAGAACCATGTCGACTCACCCTGGAAACCCAATCTCACCTCCTCCAGCTCCAGCGTCGGCTGCTAGCTCTGGTGGCGGAGTTCGTCGCCACCATACAATCTCTGCCTCATCTCGCTCTGCTCGGCCGACTTCGAAAATCGGTATATCTGAATTGGAAGACCCGCAAACGGAACAGATATGGGCCGAAGATGAACGCGTCGACGAGGATTGGGTCGGAGGCATCGGTGCTGTTGGCGAAAAATCGTCCCTACATAGACAGGCCTCCCTCCCGACGCGATACCATCGGGGTGAGGCGCTGTTGCTACCTGACTGACCCGCAGTCAAGCTGACTTTTCTTTCATGAACAATCAATAGTCGGTGGCCAGCGACGACAGCCAGGTTCCCATACACCACGAACTCTGAACAGTTTGTCAGCGATTGCCGGACATGATGGTGAAGAAGAAGAATGGGAAAGAGAGATGCGAGATCTCCGAGACGAAGAGGAGGTCTGTCCATTTAGCTAATCTTCCAATCAAATACTGAACGACATCAACAATAGCGCGGTGTGACTGTTTCAGACCATGGACATGTCGTAGATTCCTCCTCCTCCGCGGCTTCTCCTCTTTCTCCGCATTTTGGAGGGCTCTCTGGTGGACCATCACCGCCTCCCGGGGGATCTTCAGGTGTGCGCAGACATCAAAGTCTTAACTATCCAACAGCTGCGGCCGGTGTGCGCCAAATGAACTCCGGCCTTAAACGTGCTGGTACGATCCAAGCAGGTCCCGCCAAAGGCCAGGCTGCCAGAGGCAACCCGTACTCGGGTGCTCAAAGTCCCAGTCCTACTAACGCAGAAGAAGAATACGATAACGACAGTACTCATGCAGAGGAAGATTCATATTTTTCTGGCGCTGGCCAGAGTCAGGGTCAATATCCCACTAGTCCAATGGGCAGATCATCTCCCTGGGGAGCTTCGGGCACTGACTGGCGCAACCAGATTAGTGGAAATGGGGGCTCGCAGTTTGGAGGTAATGGTAACAGTGTCGGCATCGATGATGTGTCGCGTGCCCTATCTGCCCTCGAGATTAACCAGCAATATGGTGCTGGAAATTATCAACAAGGGCAATCCGCCCATCCTCCTCGCTTCAATCCCAATCATCCCCCTCCTATGCAAGCACCCGGCTTGCGTAGCGGATCTGGTGGGAGCGGGGGTTCTTCTCGGAAGCTTCAACTCGTGACCGACTTGGATGCGCGTAACAACGGACAGAGCTCGGTGCAAAGCGCATCCGCGTACGTGCCTCCCATTGGTCATCCCATGTCACCAGTTTCCCAGACTACCCAATCGCGCGGCGTGGATCGTGAAGAACAGCAGCAACAACCCGGCCGCGAGCGTGCATTCACCGCTTCCGGTACATCAACATGGGACCAGAAGGAGCGCATCCTTGGCGGAAGAACGTCCAACCCGAGTCTCCATCATCTCTACCAGAGCAAGAACGGAAATGGCCCAGATATTCCTAGTGTTCCTCCGATTCCTGCTCAGTATCTCAATCAAAGCCAAGCTCAAGCACCGAGGATGGGCGTTGCTTCCGGCAATATGGGCTCTCAATCACACAATAGGGCGCAGTCTCAAGGTGGATCCTTGGATGGCGTCGTTAATTCTCCTATTGATGTCCCCACACTCATCGCGACTAAGGGCTACAACCCTGTAGACTTCGACACCAGACCACTCTTTGTAAGCCGACATTACTGTTATTATATCTTTTCGGCTAAGCATTCTGTTGAAGGCGCGGTATTTTGTCATCAAGTCTTACACTGAAGATGATGTCCATAAGTCATTGAAGTACGAGATCTGGAGCTCTACCGATCCCGGAAACAAACGCCTTGATAAAGCTTTCAAGGAGACCGCTGGCCGCGGGCCAATTTACCTATTTTTCAGTGTCAATGCTAGGTCAGTACTTGCAAATACACATCCAAGCGTTCCTTCATTGATTTTTGGCGCGTGTCGCTAGTGGTCATTTCTGCGGGATGGCTGAAATGTTAACACCGGTTCGTTCCGTGTAATCCAGCGTGTGTTTATGCTGATCCTCGCGTATAGGTCGACTACACGCGCAGCAGTACAGTGTGGGCATCGGACAAGTGGAAAGGGGTATTCAAGGTTCGATGGATCTTTGTTCGCGACATCCCCAACGCCAACTTGAGGCACATCAGGCTGAAGTATGTCGACGTCTTGCCTTTAGAAACTCTGAGCTAATGTGAGGATCTGTCGTCAGCAATACGCAAGAACGCAAACCAGTCACCAACTCTCGTGACACTCAGGAATTGCTTCCGGATGCTGGACAGGAGATGCTGCGTATCTTCCATACTCATCCCGCGCGAACCTCGCTCTTGCAAGATTTCGCTTTCTACGAGGTGTGTATCCCATAAGATTGCATGAAATGTTCTGACCCAATCATCGCTCCTCAGCTACAAGCTATGCAAAAAGTACAAGCTGTCCAAGCGCAGGTACAAGTACAAGGTCTCCAGCAAGGCCCCTCTTCACCTACTCAATCACCCATGATGTCGCCTGGCCAATCACAAATCTCCCTTGCTGGGTCGTCCGGACAGCATCCATTCGCGATGTCCAATCCTACCGCGCTTGCATACGCTGCTCAACACATGGGCATGCAGCAGATGAACATGAACATGATGGGAATGAATCCGTTGATGCAAATGCAAATGAACATGGGAGGCATGGGTACCCCGTACGCGAACCCGCACGCTATGCAGAGCGTGATGCGCCATCCGAGCCCAGGACCCATGTCTATCGCTGGAACGCAAAACTTCATGAGCTTAGGCGGCATGCCTGGGTTCTAATCGCCCCTTATACTTTCGGATAATGAAGATCTATCGATCATCCTGTGTGTAGAACCCAATCTATTGCGTGGCTGAATGCTGGTGTATGTTTTATCATCTATGCTCCCCCTACTTTCTATTGTTTCTATTGCTTGTATTATCGTCGTCTAGGAGCGATGCTCTCTCTTTCCTGCTTTTCTAGCCTAACGTTATCCTAACGAACCGTCACGCGGAACACGTTTTGTTTTCTTGTCGCTAGTATGCTTTACAGTCCTTCTCCAGATTCGCAATATACAAACGGGACGGTTAGCAATGGACATGGATAGTAACGATTGTTCACATGTATTTGTCCTGCAATCTCCCGTACTAACATATGCATGTGTCGCAGCGCGGTGTAGTCGGTTTCCCTCCGTTTGAAGAGATTATTAGATATTCTCGATTGCCTTCATAATGTATTTTGTCTTCTGTTTGCTCTCTGCCACGCATTCCAGGACGCAGCACACGCGCTATGCATAATCATCCATCGAGAGGTCACATTGCACATGACCAGTTTGATTATTGACAATAAAAACACCTTGGTAGGTGGTTATAATGATACATGCTTAAAATGACATTGACCAATGAACTAGCTTACAATGAATAGACATATTGGTGGCTACTCGGACATGGGGATATCTTCTGTTTCACTGGAAACAATTTCGTCTTCTGGCTCTAGCCAACAGCTGATGACACCTTCAGTCACAGGAGCGTCATCGTCGAAAGCCCATTCGTTCTTCTTGACCCAGTGCCAGCTGTCTTCCCACCATGTCCACACAGGCTTCATTTTCTTCACGGCACTCACCATGGCTTTCTCCTGACGGGCATACCGCTCCAAAATACGCGAGAAGCAACTCGTAGATTGGCCGCTCGTCAGGATAGTCCGCCTCAACAGCCTTCATATCTTTGTCTTCAATTAGTTCCTCGTTCTTGAAGGTATACGATGAATCTGGGTCCTAATTGTAATAAAGCAACGCGCCTGTTGGGCCCTCACTACGGTCCTAAATCACGACGAGTCCCATTGGCCGACCAGGGGTCGGGAGCATCCGACTAACATTGCCAATAATAAGACCTGCTTTGCTCTGTCCTATTCCGCGAGTATGAATTTTTGGCTCTCCGCCCACCAAATTCGGTAACTACACGTGATTCATTCCTCCGATCGAGGTCTGGTAACGAGACTAGTCTTCCACTGTCAGTATCTGCACTCGTTCTCGATATCTCGACTGGACGAACGCGGTACCAGCTGAATGAGCGGGTCGAATTTGTACCAATTGGGGGGGTTTCAAGCATCCTTCAGGTGCGCCACTAATGAAGCTTCCGAGGAATATATATCCGTGAACCCTCGACCGACCATTCCTTGTGCAGAGACATTCCAGAAGGTCTCAACCAGCCTTCCCGATCGTACTCAAACCAGGAAGGCATCAAATTTGTACTAGGTAGCATTTGAGGCATGAGTTGTGATTCTCTGGACGCTAACGAGATGCTCAGGCATTCGTCCCAACGGCTCATCGTACATTCTCATACCATCTATTCGCTATGTCAAACATAGGCAACGACTTCCGAGATGTAGGGCTCAACGAGCTGAAGAATACTTATCGCTGTCCCCAATAAATTTTGCTAATGTAGCAGCACTGAAACAAAAACTGAAGAATTGGGTATCCAACAAGAAGAACAAGTCAGACCAGCCGAGAGATCGGTCAAAAATGAATACTAAGTTCACCGTCTCCGGAGACGCGCCTTCAAAACAGGGCGAGATTAGAGCGTCATTTGAACATCAACGGTACGTAGAGCCAGAAACATTCTGGAAGACTTTTTACTTAGTTTCACCAAGATTACTGTGTGCTCTCTTTCGCGAAGAATTCTCCATAGACGACCTCGAGGAGCTAAATCTCTCACATTGCTTCTGGGTTCGCAATACCCGTATTCTTTCCGTTACGTATAATACATGGGCGGCTGATGATCGTCCACTGACGGAGCGCGAGAATGACCCCAAAATCCTGGACCTTGGATGGTCTGAATTTCTTCATCCATCACAGTCGCGTGAGTTTGAGGTGTCGATGACACGTCATTTCATCATCAGTGAGAATCGTTTATTCAACAACCCAGGACTCAAATGCCTTGTAAGTTCATACTCCTACGTACAGCAGCTTTTGTAGTAATCATTCAATCAGAATTTCAAGTATGGGACAAGTGAGACAGTTGAGAGGTCATCCCTAAAGGCTTACTTGGAGAAGCTGTTTGCCATTCCACGAAGTGGTACATTTGAGCCTACTGTGCTCCTCGTTCACGACACGAATCGGACACTGAAGTTGCTGCAAGCACTTGGGATAAACACTTCCATGTGGGGGCACGGGGTTGCCGAGCTGCTCTATGAGAAGAGGGCACATTCCTCGGAGCATGATTCGCGCGACCAGCGTGATAGAGACTATGATCCATTGCGACGTTCTGCGCGATCGCGGTCACCGCGTAGGAGCACGAGCGAACGACGATATCATCGGCCACGCTCGCCACCCCCGCCTACAAAATCCATATACGTAGTGGACGTTCGTGAATTATTTTTCGCGCTCAAAATGACCTCGTCTCTGCATGATTCTTTGCGCGCCAATGCCCAAGTTCTCGGTGTACAGGAAACCGGTGGCATAATAGAGAAGGGATGGTGTGCTGGTAACGAAAGCAGGTGCGGCGACCTTCTGCCTGAATGATTTTTAACTTAACGCACCGCTGCAGGTTGCTCGGCCAGATGTGGTTTTCAATGGCACGCGGGCCAAATATAGATGATCAACGCGAACTTAGATGGTCATCTACGCTCGCTGCGTCCGTAAGCGTAGTTGGTGCCGCTCAGAGTGCCCAAGATGATACCTATGGTGGTAGTGACGAGGAGGTTGATCCAAATGACATGCTAGTGCAAGCTCCACCGGTTGCAACACTCTCGAAAAGCGGGCAGGCGCTGATGGATCCCGGTGGCTGGGACGACGAGTACGACGACGACGACTACTGAATAGCTGGCGGAAGAATCACAGGGATGGTGATCTGGAACGATGTGGATTTATGAACGATGCCACTGCTTTTTGTCGTTGTACTGATTTGTTTGTGTACTATGCTGCAATGTTCTACATATGCTTTGTTGTTTCTAGAAGGCTTTTCTTGTATCTTAGCTCAGGTTTTTACCACAACTGTATGCCTTAAATAGGACAATTGAACGAGTAGGTTTAGGTTGAACACCAACTTAACTCGACACTGTTGTGGCGGATTGCAAACACGTGAGCTCTGAACCTCGCGGACGCGGCTGAGACCATTGCCAACATCTCCAAGCTTCAAGATTCAAATTTGGTCGCATCTGGCCTGCGACGCCGAAGGCTACTGCAGAATTGTTCAACTAGTGCGATTTCACGGGTGGGATCATCATGTCGCTGCTCTCTGTGCGGCAGAAGGAAGAACTGTAGGCCGCAAGATCCTCCAGAGCAATGGAGACTATTGCTCAATTTATTCATGCAGCCATAAAGCTATCCTGGAGTACTTGCATTCGAATAACTTTACAGATGCCTTCAATGCTCTCAAATCCGACGCCGATATTGACTATAACCCTGACCCAAAGGCCAAGTATGCGGGGCTACTGGAGAAGAAGTGGACGAGTGTGATACGCTTGCAGAAGAAGGTGCGCTTTGTGTTTGCTATCAGTAACTGCTAAGATAACGGCTGTGGTTATAAGATAATGGACTTGGAAAACCGAAACGCTGCGTTGCAAGAAGAACTCTCTCTTTCCCCAGCAAAACGAGCGCAGATGCAGACAGACTGGGTACCAAGAGCGCCCGCAGCATACGTCTTGACTGGGCATCGCGGACAGGTTTTGAGGGTAGCCTTCCACCCGACATTCAATCTGATTGCATCCGCCAGCGAGGATGCGACTGTGAAAATCTGGGACTGGGAGACTGGTGAATTTGAACGCACCCTCAAAGGTCATACGAGGGCTGTCAATGATGTTGACTTCGATAGTAAGGGTAACTTGCTAGGTAAGTTACGGCTAAACCTGTCTCATCATATGCGAGACCTGACGAGCGATCCGGTTTTTACATCGAATCCAATGTAGTGACATGTTCTTCCGATTTGTTCATTAAGATTTGGGATACGCAGAACGAATGGCGGAATACAAAGACTTTTCCCGGACACGAACATACTGTATCCTCTGTCCGTTTTATGCCTGGAGACCAGCAAATTGTTAGCGCAAGTCGCGATCGGACGATCAGAATATTCGATATTGCGTCTACGTTCGTGACGAGCTACTTCAGGTTCCCATTGCCTGACGATTCGTGATGTAGGCATCTCGTCCGAACAATTTTGGGACATGCGGACTGGGTCCGCTGCGTCGAACCGTCTTTTGACGGACGGCTAATTGCTAGTTGCTCGAATGATCAGGTGAAATTCATGACCCTATTTCTCAGCTTCAAGTTGATGTTTGTTTAGACGGCCCGAATCAGTGATCCATTATCAGGCGAAACTAAAATGGAGCTTCGCGGCCATGATCATACAGTCGAAGTGATCGCCTTCGCGCCCGTCTCCGCATACGCTGCTATACGCGAATTGGGCGGTCTACCGGTAAGCAACACTCAGACATCCGACAGGAATTATGGCCAAGCTTGGTTGAAATAGAATACAGACCGAGTCAAACGTCCCGGGGCATATATCGCCACTGGTTCCCGAGACAAGACCATCAAGATATGGGACGTACAAAGCGGACAGATGATCCGAAGCCTGGTTCGTCGAAAATACATGATGTTACACTATGGATATTAAACTAGCGGTACTCAGGCTGGACACGATAATTGGGTGCGGGCACTCGTCTTCCATCCAACAGGCAAATTTCTCCTCTCCGCGTCAGACGATTACACCATACGCGTATGGGAGCTCACAACGGGTCGCTGCATGAAGACTCTGCAGGCTCACGGTCACTTCGTGACATGTCTTGCATGGGGACGGCAGTCTGGCTCGCAAGGCTCCGCACATGGTGCTGCGACGACGAATAGCGTCAACGGAGACGCTCAAGCGGCTGACACAGACAAATTTGTCAATGTCGTTGCGTCTGGTAGTGTCGACCAGACGATCAAGATCTGGCTCCCGTAGCGTGGGGTACAGCAGCAATTTCTCGTCGCAGGCTACCGAGTAATCTTTGTTCTCTATGGGCAGTCACTGAATATTAGACTGAAGGTAATGGGAGGTGTTCCTGGTGCATATCTCGTTCTGGTGAGTTTTCTTGTTCACTTCCACGCTGGGTGCTGATCCCTTTATCCTTGTTCAGCCTCTCATCTCTGTATACTTGTTACTTAACTCCCCTTACCTAATGCCTCGTCATGGATTTCTAGTCGCATACAACACACTCCTTGCTACCTCGTCGCCTATAACCCTCTTTCACTCCACTTATGCACACATACCCACTGGCAGTACGATGAATATATGTCTATTATTGTATAGTCACAAATTGTGAACCTGCTTTCCAAGTCGACTTCGAGGTGGCTGGCAACATTGCTGAAGAGCCTGAGCAATGTAACATCTATAGATCTGCAGAGTGATCCGTTGCTGTCCTGCCCATCTTCATTACCGACCGCTCAGCAATACTTGTTGTCAGAGCGGACTAGATACCTCGTTCAGCTGCGAGCATGTTTCTCAAGGCATTTTGTGATTACCTCATTAATATTGTGGGCGACCACAATAGGAAGTGCTTTAGGAGTCCGTGCGGCGGCGCAAGCTTAGCAAGCAGGTCATAAACTCGAACTTCTGCAGTGATTACCGGCCGAAAAAAACAAGAACCTTTATGCACAATGCTATAACATCCTTTCTCTGTAAGCATAATCGTACCCTCTGCATACTGTAATTACTCTTACAGCATAACCAGCCCTTCGTGTTATCAGCAAGCGAGCCGTTGTCATGTCGCACAGCAGCCTAAGTGTCAGTACAAGTCCATTCGAGAGATATCCGCATATTAGACTCACACAAATATGTAGCCAATGTGATAAAGCTCGCCTTCTAATATTTTGCAGCTGCATTCTGATAGCATCCTTGTCAGGGCTTTGCCATACGGGAACGTGAAAGGCAATACCGTCCTGGTCCACTCAAACTAGACGATGTGTGTCTCTATGAATTAGGTGCTGTCGCTGCTCATCCTCCTCCTGCTAGGAACTGGTGTGAATGGGCATTGGCTGGTCCTTCTCGTACGCACTCCGACCGTATCACGACTTACAGTGCGTTCAAGGACCCTCAACCTGCAATGAAAGTTTGAAGAGCGTTTCAAGGAATTTGAGCGCGTGGGTATAGATAATGGTCGTAAGTTATTACGCAAACGCTTACACTGCCCAATGATTCTTGTGACAGGTCCTGGAAGGATAGCTCTAGCCACGAAGCACGTTTTCAACCGACACGCAGCGCGGAACGACGATGGCTCACCGAGCTGTCATGGTATCACTTCGTCTGCCAATGTTTAACGACTCTCACAACTTCTACCATCTTCCGGAGTTTGTGCTGTCCTTTTCCCTTCAAATTGGCTGTCTCCTTCCTTGAAAAGCGCGGACCAGTCAAGTACGAAGATGCACGGTTTCACTTCTTAGCATTGTCCTCGTGCTAGAACTCCCTCATTTGCGCGATATCGGTCGCCGCGACGTCAACCCTGGAAACATCTTCCCGGGTGCAGACGGACATCTGTTGCTTGGTGGCTTTAGCGCTGCGACATTCACCAGCTATGACTATGAGTGGTCGAACACTGGCGCCGGAAGTGATAGTCTACCACCAGTGCCAGACGCATCTTGATTCTTAGAGCACGCCCTTTCAGAGAGCGGGCAGCAGCGGCGATACTCTGTCAATTAGTTACCCCGAGACTGGTGAAATACTTGTCTGAGCTTCCCTCCATCGCCGCTCATTTGCTACTTCCATGGCAACCTCTTGAAAGTGAAGATGCGGACATTGGGCACGCTTCACGACGAGATGATGCGTTGCGATATCAGATGACCATTCCAGCCTCGCATAGATGCTGATCTGCGGGGTCTTATCAGCAAAATGCTTATCCCCCGTCCCGCGGGCTGCGGAGCGGTACGGTGCGCACGTCGTCAAGGACGACGTCAGAAGCGTTGACAAGAACGATGAAGCCATTCATGTACCGGAAGGTGCGATGGAAACGTATAGAGCCAAGGAGCTCGGAACGTGTAAATGCAGGCCTTCGTGACAATTGAGCGGCATCGAACGAATGCTCACTCCGGCCATTTCTTCAGGCTCCGTTCGTTTCTAGGCCCCACCCCAATCTGTCGGAGTAATGGCACATGTTTGGCGATCCCAAACAGACCGACGTTCCGGGCCTCGTCGTAGCTCTTGTGCCCATCGAGCGCAGATGGGACCCCCGATTTTGCAGAAGGTGCGCTTGACTGGATTTGTTTGGCGGGTCGCGAGTTCTTCAGACATCTTGTCTATATTCTGAGTGGTGACTTCCGCAGGCAGTGCTTGCCCTCGGATGTGGACCATCATCTCAGTGTGCCGGTCGCGATCGGCCTCCTGCCCTCTAACCAATAACGGATTCAATCATCCGCACAGCGTGCATACCATTCTGATGAGAATTCCCTTCGCCCTGGCCGCTGGGTGCTTTGATGTGCTAGCAATAATGTATGACATCTGGTTGCACGCCGGTAACACGAAGCGGGCACTAGTTCGGAGGCCACACACCAATCTCGACCCATGGTTCTGATCTCTGGCGGATTCTCAATGATGCGCTGCGAGTACGCCGTAAACTCCAGATTCTATATTGGCAGGTGTGCTACAGGGATGCTGCTTGGTTCATAAAAAATCATAGTGAGGTAATAAATAATCTCACTTCATTGCACTCATGTGCGCGCGATAAATAGCCTCGTGCTCGGGCTGCACTCGATCTGCAAACTCCAGTGTACTTGGCGGTTGGAGTGCAACACGTATCCGATAGGTCTAGGGAGGACGCATTAAATACCAGGCTGCCGCTACTCAATATCCGAGACTAGCGCGTTCGATTGAGTTCCGCTTGCCGAGTTGTGATCGACGAAGAGTCGAGGGCGATCGTGAGCCTCTCGATATCGTCGGGTGATGAGGAACCTCGAGCAAATACACAGGAACGCGGGTTTCGACGACGAGACACGGACAGCGACGCAAGACACAGCCATACCACAATAATAGTACAATTGTTTCTTGTTAAACGAGCGACAGGCCACAGAGGCGGACCTGCTGGACTTCTTCGGCTGCTCTGCTGCAATACATCCACAACATACTTACGTACGAGGCTATATACTACTGTACACGCACAGCTCATTAACACCGTGCGCGTAATTGTACATGTCCTGAACGGGCCGGGCCGGAACCCTGCATTACACGGGCGCGTTGAGCACCGGGATAGACCCCGGCTGCCCAATGCGTAACAGTAAGGGTAACATTAGGTAGGGAGGGCTGGAAGGAAAGGATAGGCGGAGGGCCGTGGTGTTAAATGAGGGTCTAGTTGGTCGTTGAGTGCAAGGTTCGAAGGTGTACAAAGCGATTACAGCACAAGAAGGAAGGTCCTGATTGAAAAACATGAGCGCTGGCTTCCACGGCGCAGCTACAAGTCACTCACGAAGGAGGTCGGCGTGTCCTGCGGATACAACTTATTAAAATAAGATTAGGTGCCAGGGCGCATCAATGAAATCGAAGGCGAATGCGGGACGAAGACGAATATTCCAATCTGTAAGTTCGTGACGCTAAGACCAGAATCTTGAACAGGAAAGTGTCATGGTGTCATGGCGGCCTTGAACTCAGGTGTTATCTACTGCGACCGCGCGGCACACGAATCTTCTCCTGGTGACGTGAGGAGTGCAGGCCGGGGTCAGAGCACGAATGTCCCAGACGGCGGGGCGTACGCTGACGTCCACGCGGGGGGTCTGGGGACTTGGTGAAATCCTCGTCGTCGGCCTTGTAGTATTCCTCATCGGGATCGAACACGGTCGGAGATGTCGCCGTGGACATGTTCATCGGTGGGAGCTCGAGCTCCTGGCCGAAATTGTCGTCATCGTCGTCGTCATATACATTGTCGTTATCAAGCTCGTCATTGCTGTCGGAGTCATATCCAGGAGCACTTCGTCGGCACCTCCAGCGCCCATACCAGCGTCCCAGGAAGACCTTGATCTCGGAGCCGAGACCGAGGTACTCGACGTTCCGCGCGAGGCCCTCCCAGCTTAGCGTCCCGGCGTCTAATGCATCCTCGATGAAGGAGGTGGAGCCGAAGTAGATGTAGTGCACCAACAGGCGGAACGAGGCTGGGTCTGGCACTGGGAGGCAAATCATCGGACGTGTCGGCGGAGATGGAAGCAAGTAGGGGAAGAGAGGTGTGGAGAGTGACGAGCGGCGGGAGCGGCTGTCGTTGGACACCAGGCTGGACCGCGACTGTGGGAGCGAGAGGGGCGAGCTAGGTGGGCTGTCGATCAAGTCGAAAGGAGAGGCGCCGCTGAGCAAGCCGCGCAAAAGGGCGGAGTGTGCACACAGGTAATCCATGTGCAGCTGTAGACTTGTGTGAGCCCCCGAATGCTAATGCAGAGTGGGCGTTGTACGCACCTGCATGACCATACGGGGAGCCGGGCGGAGGGCCGGATCGTCGTGCTGATGCTCAAGACTGACAAGGCTGGCGATGCTTGGCTGCGAGTAAGAGCTCGAGGTGATGTCGCTGGACAGCCCAGACGTCGTGGCGGCTGCTTTTGTGTCCAACGGAACGACTGCAAGAATTGAGACCATGGTGAGAAACAGACAGCACACATGGCGCACCTATCGTACAATCCGAGGTTTCAGGCTTGCTCCAATAGTGGGGAGCGAGGCGACGGAGCTGGTCAATGATGTACTCAAGAGGAACATCGGTAAGGGCGGGGGGCGGGAAGGGGCGGGGGACGAATGCGAAGCCGTTCATTGTCCGTCGGGGCGCTCGTTTGTCAAGAAACCCAAAGGCTGGGGACGACCGGACAGCGATCCGGGAGGACGGGGACGAGAGGGCAAGATGGCCCTTGCTTTTAGCATGGGATGGAAGGTTATTGTCTACCGGAGACATATGCCAATTGTTTTTAGGACACACTCGTGCGTACGGGGTGGGCGCTGCCTCTGGCGCTGGACACTAGATATGGCAGCCTCGTTCCAGCGGCGAGGCAGGCTAAAGACAATTGTCAGAGCAAGTGCGGTGTGCGAGAGAGAGAGAGGGCGAAACGCGGTCAGATGACAAGGGCGATGAAAGAGTGCAGTGCAGTGACAATAAGCGGGTCGGAATATATATGCGGATTAATCGAGGACTTGTGCTCGACGGTTGCCGTCTGTTGAGAGCAACAGGGGACAGCGCGACGAGGGTTGGCGAAGAGAGCGGTGGCTGCGCGGCTAAGCGAGAGAGGCGCTGGCGGAAAGGGGCAGGTCTCTATCGCGGTCGCCATCGTCCGGACGCGTTGCCGACGCTCTTATTGTTCTCCTCTTCGCTGTCTGAGATCCTCATGGCCCCCGCGTGCTCTCGCCGCTCTCACAGATCGCATCCCAGATCCTCTCATCAACTGATCTCCTCCGCTTTACGTCTCACTCGCCTCACAATAACCTCACGCTCCCCAGTCCAGAACCGCCGATCCAGCTACCGCTGAGCGCGTTCTTCATATGTGTATCGCTTCATTTCATTCTGCCCTCGACCGTCCGATCATGGAGCACCATCGTACTCATTTCTCCGGGGAATGCAGCATCCTGTGCAGATTTAGCGTCAGCCCCGGAGCTTCGCATGACGGGCCATGGTCACCTACCGCAGCGACTAATGCCTCCGCTAAACCTATTCTCGACAGGACAAGACACCCATCGTCACACGAGATGATCTCCCCCTTCCGGCAAGAGCAGTGCATACGGGTACCCACAAGCTGGGGAAGCCGATAAGATGTCGATGGCAGTACGAGCACAAACCTTCTTGGACCAAACCTAATATCTTCGACTCAGCTTGAGCGCGCATTCTCGTGTTCGCGGCCAGCAATGTCAGGTTGCTACAAGATTGCGGTGGTTCTGGCACGTATATGAGACGATATTCGCAGCAACTTATCAGAGTGCGTTCCACCTGCCCTTGGGGAGCAATCGAAGACGTCAATGTGGTTTGTTCCCATCATACTTGCCTATCTAGTTGTCGGCGAGCAACAGCAACGCAGAGGCAGAAATATCAAACAGCTCGCGGAGCCAACTGTGACAAGTCGCTAAACGGAAGGTAGTGTCCCGAATGATGGGTCGACCAGTCGGAGGTACTCAAGTGTCACCATACAATGCAAGGTCGGGATTGCCCGAGGGTAGTGGGAAACATTAGCAGAAGGCCTCGGCTGATCGTATAGATGCGAACTTTGCATACGGTCGGACCGCCAAGATGGCTGCCACAATTATCCGTGGTTGGCAGCCGGCTTCGGGGCACGAGGTCTGGAATATGCGGATTTGTCTCGGCAGTTCATTCCGAGCTTCGCGTCAAGGACAACGTAGCACCAGGGATGTCATTTTTGCTTTCAGAACGCATGCGGATGAGAGAATAATGGTGACTGAAGCAATGATAGCACACCTGCGTGAGACTGGATAGCGGAGACCGCTGATGACAGTATCACGAAGTAAATCAGTGATGTTCTGACAGGATATACATTCAGTTCATCATGCCGCCCTCGCATGCCATTCATCTTCATCTATGGTCATCATCTAGTGACATTGACTCCAGGTTCGCTATCTCTGATGGTCAAAGTTCAGGTCAGTTCAGCGCAATGTCGTAACGCGCACCATTGGAACCCCAATACCTGAGACTCTTATGCGCAAAAAACCGCTTCACAGTAGCCCAAAGAACGGCTGCAATATCCTCGCCCCAAAAACAATTTGCAATAATACCAAATATCACACATCTGGCCCACGCACAGAATCGGACAGGCAGAGACTGTCAGAGAGTCAACAAATCCTTCGGCAACTTACCCTCTACAGAGCCTCGGGCACGAAGACGACGAAATAAGGCAGGTGCCCAAGGAGCATTCCAAGACACACTTACGACATTGAACCGCACGCAGCACGGCACGGATCATTCTCTGTTCTAACTCGAAATGAACTTGATCAACGCCCACTGGGGAACACAGTTCATAATTGACAGCCACGTTGCCGCTAGCCAGAAGATGACGAGCGACCGCAGCCGCTAATCACCGGCAGGTCCACAATCGATGGTGCGGCCTGGCCGCTATGGAGAGTGCATCAGCCGCCCAGGCTGATGCACATGGGAGTGGATGGCCGCTGGAGCATTCTGCTTGATGTTTCTCCCCAACGGAATGGAGTCTGGAACGGGAAACATAAAAGTCAAATTGCAATATGATCAGGCTATTCCATGGGAGGCAGGAGAAAAATAAATGAAGTCCAGGGGAGACGTGCGTACCACTGACAGATTGAATGAACTGGTTACATGCGGTAGTTGATCATAGCCGGTTAAGAGAGGATTGGAAATGCGGGTGATATACGAGCGTCGGATAATCAACAGCATGGAGCCATCGGACAACAACAATAAAGGCAGAGAAGAAAGTTGTACCCGTCAATACTCATGTGCAGCGGTGAGCGAGGGCACAGTCGGTTCTGCCGGTGACGCTGAACCATTATCCGAACCAAGCAGCTTCGTAGATATTCCGAAGGGTGACCTGTGTGGTCAAAATCTAGCGCAGGGAAGTGTGGTCCGTGTATTAGGTTTGGAAGATTGTTGCGGTTTATCTGTGCGGTTCAAAAGTCAGCTGGCAGAAAAAATGGCGCCACACTTAGGCAAGCATTCGACGGAATGCTCTGGCTTGTGCGCATTCATCCTGTGCAAAGTGTGTGGAGTATGCAGTGGAACCCGAAGGTGATGGAGACATTATCGGAGTGACTTACTTGGATCTGGTCGCAGGCAGCGCGATAATAAGGACATGCATATATGGACTTCTGAGGTGCCAGTCTTGTAGGGATTTTAGACCATATCTTGTATCTGCAAGAGATTTCAGTATGCGTTCGTGTTTGTTAGCTGTCTGCCACCCTGAGCCGGACAAAACGATAATGGAGCTACTGGTGGTAACCAACAATCTGCAAGAAGATCTAGCAGCACCTGTACCTGTCCTCTTAAATAAGATAAATCAAAAAAGAAAATACGCATCACATAACGCGAGACTATATGCGTTGTGGCCGAGTTTGACGTGGGGTGCCAGCCCCCCCTGGATGAGATCACCGTGCATGAACAACTCTTCCGCCGACCACGACCACTCAACTAGCCAGCAGCGAAATGCCTGATACGAACCCGTACGAGGGGCACCCCGCTCTATCCGAAACCGAAGCTGAGGTCCTTTGGCAATACGCGAAGCTCTCGCAAAATATTAAAGAGGTGAGTACGCGCCACAGACGCGTCGCAGTCGCGTTTGTGCTGATCGAGTACGGGCAATGTCACCGGGGACTTGGAAGCTCGTCGCGGAGACACGACGGCTGAGCGAAGCTCCAGACAAGACGTTGTTGAGGCGACTGCGAGCGTTGGAGGTGAAGATGGGGTTGGTGTTGACACTCGTATGTACCCTTTGGTTGGCAGGAAGAAAATTGATACAATTCGGTTTTTCGTTCGTGCCACAGTTCAAAGCATCGGTGTGGGCAGTCATCAATGAGCAGCCGGCGGATGATGCCGTGGATGCTACTGTGGGCGAGACTATTTAGTAGTCGGGCTAGCTGTCTCTGCTAAAGGTCAGATAGAAATGTCTCTCGGACCGTGGATGCATATATCTCAACGCGGACTTTGGTGCACAGGAAGGTCGAAAGGCAGAAGAAATTGGTCAAGGAAGCATGTACCATGAAGGCAGAATATCATCATTTCAATATATAGACAGAACGTGTACACAATTCCGCTAGTTTACACTATGCGCATTATTACATTACTTCAAGTGCATTCCAGCCATCATTCCAGCGAGCCCAGTCGCCCCAATGGGGGTGACTTGGTTTACGTCCCAGACTACCAACTTCCCATCTACACCAGAGGTGCTCACTTTCACGACCTGCCCGGCCAAACCCTCGTACGGTCGTACACTAGTGATGGTGTTCTGGTGGACCGTAAACAGCTCAGACTCGG